TTCTTTGGATTCTAAAAATGGAAAAATTAATAATTAATAATTAATGATATTATTATTATTTTAAAATATTATATTTACTTTGTTCTTTATGTTCAAATTCCATTATTGTTGAATCAAAAATTTCATTATAGTTTATAATTAAACAAGAAATTACATTAGTTGCAAATATTTTATTTCCAAATTGTTGTACCTCGTCTCTTTCCTTTTTGAATCTCATTAATACATTTGAAAACATTTCACCTAAAACTTCGGGTGATAAAATAATAAATGATTTATGTAATTCTTGGGTGCAAAGTTTTTTGAATACTGAAAATAATTTTAATACTATTTGTATATTTACTTCTGGTAATTCTAAAATGCAAGTTTTTATTTTTTCGATATCCTCATCTAGAAAATAAAAATAATAAATTAATATAAACTAAAATAATTATAATTTAAAATGCTACCTACAATATGTATTAACTATATAGGCCTCGTTATAATTTTCTAAAATTAAAGGGTGGCTAAGCTGACACAAAATTGAGTGGATCCCCCATGCCAAGTCATACTGTGAATAAAATCCGCTTTCAATTTCTTGTTGGAATTGTTTAAGTAATGTAAAATTACGAATTTTATTTATTAAAACACTAATTTTTGCTTGATTGCCTTGTGTATTAAAAATATCCACTTGATTTGTGCCTATTTTTTTTTTTTTTTTTTTTTTTTTTTTTATTATTAATTAATAACCGATTGATAAAAAAATTAAAAAAAAAATAAAAAAATATATTTACATTTTTTTTCAAAATATTCTAAAACTATTAATAAATAGGGTGCTGCAATTTCTAATCTTAAATCATTCATTTTATAATATTGTTTTTATTTAGAAAAAGAAAAATATATTTGTTTAATGAGTTTATTAAAAAAATTAAAAAAATAAAATAAAATAAAATTAAATTAAAATTAAAATTAATTGGGGTGTTATTATAGCAGTTATTATTTGATTTATATTTATTTATATTAAACTACTATTTCGATATACAAAACAATTATAAAAAAATGGGAAAACTAATGCGTTGTGTTGGTGTAAAAATAAAAAAATAAAAAAAAAAAATAAAAAAAAATAAATAATAATAAAATTAAAATAAAAAAAAAAATAAAAAAAAAATAAAAAAAAATAAAATTAATATTTTCAAAAAATTAACACACACACAAATTTTGAAAATCAACAAAACTTAATTCTTGATATTTAATTTTAATAAAATGTTATTTTATATTAATTTTAAGTTACTTGAAATATTTTATAATTATTATAACTTTTATTTGATGCTTTCCATATTTAAATAATAAACATATATATTAATATATGAGTATAAAATAAAAAGGTATTTCTACATTTTTTATCTGTTAAATTTATTTAAAAAATTAATATAAACAAAATCTTGTGCTATTTCAGTTTTTACCCCATTTATAAAATTTAATTTAATATTTACAATAAAATTTATTTTTAAAGTAATAAAAAAAAAAAATTTTAATTTATTTGTAAAATTTTAACCCTAATTAGAAACTATTTCGGGAATATTAGTGGTAATATCGATTTGATTTGATGGTAATGTAGTATTATTTAAATCTTGATTAGTTGATGTTATAATATCGTTTAAATTATTATTATTATTATTATTATTATCGTTAACATTATTATTTGAATTTATTTTTGGTGATGTATTATTATTTCTATTGAAAATAGGTGATGTAGTTATTTTATTAAATATTGGACTGAAGCCATGCATTCTAGGAGTTGATGGGGGTTTTTCAAAATTTGGGGATGATAAAATACCTATTGTACATTTTTCCAATTTTGAGGGTATAGTTGAGGGATCTACATTATTGTTATTTGTATTTTCAGTATTGTCATGAACTCTGACAAATTCCTGTTGTAATACATCGATATTTCTCCTTGATCTACGATAGGCTATGTGAATTGAATGATTAATAACAATGAAACCAAGAGTACTAAGAGCAATTCCTACATAAAGAATATGATTATTTGGATTCTTTTCAAAACCTTTGACGAATAAAAATACAGTTGAAAATACAGTTAAAATTCCAAGCAACCCATATGCTGTATTTAGTTTTGTGTAGTTTTTAAACAAAGTTTCATTCTGTATACGAATTCTTAAAACATTTAATCTTTCCTCTCTAACCCTTTGCTCAAATGTGACCTCGCTTTGCTGTTGGGTTTGTTCACCATTGTTGTTATTACTGATGTTATTGGCATCTATAACCTCTGTAACTACATTACCATTTGATATTATATCACCATTGTTACTATTATTATTATTATTACTACTATCATTTGATTCTGTTAATGTATTGATAGTACTCATTTCAATATCAAATGATTGAGTACCTGCATTGTTTATATGTACATTATTATTATTTATTATATTTTGATGAGATGCATTTAAATTTGGATTGCCTTCACTTATAATTAAAGGTGATAGTGATTGCTTATTTCTTTCTATGACTTTATTTATTATTTTTGAACTATTTGGTGTTGTTTGTTGATTATTTATTTTTGGTGATGTATTTTTATTGGTCTCTATTATTATCGCCTCTTCTTTATTTATTTTTATAGTTTCTGAATCTTGGTGATTGCTTGTATTGGTTTTATTTTTCGATTGAAAGTGAGTTAACAACTCCTTTGCTTTTTGCTGTGAAACTATACAAGGACTACTCTGTTGTGATCTAGATGCTAAACTAAACTGCTCCCTAGTTGAAAGTACTGGTGATGGAGGTAAACTTAAACTCTTTTGATTCTTATTTTCTATAGACAAATATTGATCATTCATTTTTATTGTTGCTATTGAGTTTTTAAATCTTTAAAATATATATATATATTACAATTACAAAATTTTTATTTTTATTCTATATATTTTATAAAAAAAAAATTTTAATTTAAAATTAAAAAAAAAAATATAATTAGCTATTGATTAATTTTATTTTTGGTTACTGGTTTTATTGATTATTAAAATAAATTTTAATTATAATAATTATAATAAAATAAAACAAATATATAAAAAGAATAAAATAAAATAAAATAAAATAAAATAAAATAAAATAAAATAAAAAAATTGACTATAATAATCAATCGATTGATTATTTTTATTGCTATTAATAATTGTTTATTTATTTTACATTATTTAAAAATAATAGAATATTATTTTATTGGTTTTGGTTTTGATTTAAAATTTAATAAAATAAAAATATTAAAAAATAAAAATAAAAATAAAGGGTTTGTTTAAATGTGTTTTAGGTTTAAATTATCTATAATAAATCATTACCACTTTAATTAAATTTTCAATGTTTTATTTAACCTATGTGTGTGTGTGTTTGATTATTTTAAATCTAGTTATGGATTAAAATATCCTAAATTGGGGATGGGGATTGACAAAAATGTATGTTAATGTGGGGTTTATTTATGTGTGTTATCCAACTATATCTGTGTCTGCTATAAAACCAAATAATAAAAATCATATTAATAAATTATTTTATTACTTACACTTAAACTAGTTTAATATTTTTTCTCTATGGGATTTGATTAAATATTTAAAACTACCTTGTGAGATATTTTATTATATGCCTATATTTGGGACTGTGTGTAAGTGTGTGTTAAAAACAATACATTTAAATGTACAATAGATCTATTAAATATTATTTTTATTATTATTATTTTTATTAATAATATTTTTATTATTATTATTTATAAAATTATTATTGCTATAAAAATAATAAAAACAATAAAAATAAACAAATAATCTCAAAGATTAATTTATAAAAAAAAATTAAAATAAAAATTAAAAAAAAACACACACATGCAATAGCTTATTCAATTATTATTATTGAATTTGTGTGGGGTGTATTTAAATTTTTTTTTATTTTTTTATTTTTTTTATTTTTTTTTTTTTTATAAACATCATTTATTATTTTATTTCTATTCATTTTAATTTATACTTTAATACATCTATTTATATTTAAATTTAATATAAACAATAGTAATAATATAAGAAATTCATAAATTTATTAAAAAAATATGAAAAAAAAAAAAAATTAAAATTTTTTTTTGAAAATATTATTATTTTTAAAAATATTTTTTAATATTAATTTATTTTTTTATTTTTTTTTTAAATTTATAAATTTAATAACACAAACCACACACATTTAAAATAATAATAACAATATCAATCAATAAATAATGAAATTAACAAACGAACAGTTAAAAAAATATAAAGAGGATGGTTTTTTAATTATTGAAAACTTTTGTTCAGATGAAGAGATTGATAAGGTTACAAATGAAATGAAAAAACTTATTGATGAATATGATCCTTCTGAAACAATATCAATCTTTACAACAAGTGAACAAGATGTGGGTATTAAATTTAAATAATTCGATACTTAGAAAACCCTTATTAACTTTGTTTACAAATAGAGAAATACAGATGATTATTTTATTGGCAGCAGTGATACTATTAGATTTTTCTTTGAAAAGGATGCCTTGGTAGATGGCAAATTAGCAGTACCAAAAGAAATTGCCTTTAATAAAGTTGGTCATGCTCTTCATAATTTGAACCCAACCTTTGAAGAATTTTCATATTCTCCAAAAATCCATGATTTAATTTATTCACTTGGTTATAAAAAAGCATTATCGGTTCAATCAATGTATATTTTTAAAAATCAAAGAATCGGTGGTGAAGTTAATATTCATCAAGATAGTACATTTTTACATACAACCCCATTAGTAAGTAGTATCAATAAATCATCTTTATAACTATAGAACCAATTACTTATATTTAACCATTTTTTTATAAGACCACACATGCAATTTGGTTTGCATTTGAAGATTCAACAATCGAAAATGGTTGTCTTAGAGGTTTAGCTGGTTCACATAAAGCAGGTATTACTAAAAGATTTATAAAGAATGATGAAAATAAATTTGTATTTGTTCAAGATAGTCCCGATCCAGTATGTAAAAAAGAAGATTTTGTAGCTTTGGAATGTAAAAAAGGTTCCATTATTTTATTAGACGGTGCAGTTCTCCATTATAGCGAACCAAACAAATCCCAAAAATCACGTCACGCATACACTCTCCATTTTATTGAAGGCGAAGATGGTGTCGTTTATGAGGAAAATAATTGGTATGTAAAAAAAATAATAAATATACACAGATTTAACTATAAAAAAAAAAAAAAACATCGCTGACACATTCTATTTAAAACAGGTTACAATCATCAAAACCATTTAGAGCTCTTTAAATAAATAAATAAAAGATTTGGTTCTTTAATAAAAATATATAAATTTTTGTGACTAAATTCATCTTTGGTTACTAAGAAAAAAATAAAAAAAATAAAAACAAATAAATTTTGTTTGACACACTTCGTTATAATCCTATCTCCTATTTTTGGCTAAATATCCTAAAACTATATATCTTCTCTAAACTGTCTTTACTAAAAAAAATTGTAATAATATGATAGACGTGGTTTTATATATTTTGTAAACTAAATTATTTTAAAACGTTTATTTAGGCGGTTTTTTTAACACTTAATGAAGCTATATTAAAGATTAGTTTGGTTAGTAATGTTGTTGGGTTTTTGATGAATGATAAGTGTTTAGTTATACAAACCTTCTTTGAAACCACTGTTGAATCTCTTGTGAACAGTTTTAAGGTATCTAGTTCTACCAGTACCGGTGGTCTTTCTTCTGATGGCTTTAACACTCCAGTTGTATGATCTGGTTTTGGCTGATGGGTAACCACATGAAGCACAAGTCTTCTTTTGGACGTGGTATGATCTGTTACCACAACGTCTGCATAAGGTATGTGATTTACCGTTTCTACGACCAAAACTGAATGTACCTTTTGTCTATTGGTGATTGATTATCATAAACTCATAAATTAGTACATGTAGATTTGATTTGATATTTTAATTTGTTGATAGTGATAAAGGGATAAATGTGGATTGGGTGATAGATAAGTGATGATTATGATAGATAGATGTTGATTACCCAAAGATAAATTCATAATGGGTCATAGAGACAGAGATAATAGATAGGAGATAGAGTCATACCATTTTTTATATGAGGACGAAACTTAATAGACAAGAGAAAAAAAAAAAAAGAAAAATTGAAAAAATCAAAATTTTCGTTAGATTGAATTTTTTATGAGGCTCTTTTTTAAAAAAATTTTTTCGAATTTTTTAAAAAATTTTTTAAACGCGTTACTAATTATTTTTTATTAAAAGAGCTAAAAAAAAAATTTTATTTTAAATGGGAATGAAAAAAAAATAAATAAAATAAAACAAATAGAATTAATTTAATTTTATTATTATATAAATAAAAAAAATAAATATATATATTTTTTATTATTTTAAATTTTAATAATTGTTTTTATATTTTAAAGTTTTTAAAAACACACACAAAAAAAAAAAAAATTTAGATGCTTATAAAAAAGAAAAAAAAAAAAGAAAAAGAATTTATCTTTTTATTTTCTTTTAAATAATAATAATAATATTTTTATTGTTTTATTTTATATTCCTATAGCTTTTAATATCATTTTTTAAAAATATTTTTCGGTTTTTTTTTTATATTTTTTTAATTTATGCAATATCTTTTTTTTTTTTTTTTTTAAAATATTAATTTTCATTTTAAAAAATGATAATAATAAAATTTTATAAATAAAAATAAAATAAATAGTATTATTGTTTTTTTTTTTAATTTTAAAAAATTAAATAATTATTCGGTTTTATATGGAACAATATTAAATATACTTGAGCATAACTATTTTTGGGATTTTCTTCACATTTTAAATCTGGTGGACATTGAACATTTGAACAAACATCAGTAGAGCCATCAGTAGTTAATAAACCATTGTAACTAGCAGTGGTGAAGCCAATTAGATTGATTTGAGCAAAACAAATTGCTTTACTATCATCACCTCTTTGGCAATAGTAACCATTTGGGCATTAATATTTGAACATACACCATAAAAAAAAAAACAAATAAAAATAATAAATAAAAAAAATAAAATAAAAAAATAAAATAAAAATATATAAAAATAAAAAAAGAGATAGATTTTATAAAAATATAAAGATATTTATCAAAGTATTTTTTTGGTGCGTGAAATTAAAGGAAAATAAATAATTTATATTTTTTATTTTTTATTTTTTATTTTTTTTTTTAATTTTTTAATTTTTTTTTTAATTTTTAAATTATACTAACCCACCACATATTTAAATAAATAAATGAAATTACTATATGTTTTATTTATTTTATATTTTTTTGTTATTAATCTAAGTAACATTAAAGCAAGCAAAGGTGGAGTCAATACTAGTAATAGTTCAGAAGATGAACTCACTATTAATATAGTGGTAGATCAATTTTCAAAAATACCTTATAACTATACAGAGTGTGGAGCACCATCTTTGCCATGCACTAATTTTGAAGATGCAGGTAATAAACAATAAAAATAATAGTAATAATAATAACAACATTTTAAATACAAGATATTAACAGGAAAAAACTTTTAATAATTATTTAGGAACAAGTGCAAGATATTTATTAAATAATAACAAAGATTCATCTATTCCAATTAATCTAGTAATAGAGTTAAGAAACTCATTTTTTTATTTAAATAATACCAGTAGTTGTTTTGGAAATTTATATGGGTTTTGTAATATTAAAATTAAATCAAATAGTGGTGACGACAAAGTTACAATTGATGGGACAGATTATTTCACCGACCAACCACTTTTTGTTATAGAGCAACCACAAATCAATAAACCACCTAAATACACATGTGGTTATATTAAAATAGATATAAACAATTTTTCATTTACAAATTTTTATTTATCCTCTTCTTCACCATTGTTTTCAGTATTTGCCCAATTACCAAACCAACTTTATAGTTATTTATATTTCAATGTATATAATTCCAAATTTAGTAATATAAATAGTCCAATAATAAGCTTAGAAAATGATACACCATTCAATAATAATAATAATAATAATAAAAACAACAATAAATTACAATCAAATTTAAACCCAAATAATTATAATATGGTAACACTTTTTTCAACATGCAGTTTTAATAATATAAAACGTATGGGTGATTATATTACTGTTCCTACACCAATTTTTAAAATTAAATCAGCTATAATACAAATTTTATTATCAACTATTAGTGATGTAACCTTTTCATCTAAAGATCCACAGTTTATATATGTAGAGAATGGCAATTTAAAAATATTCCAAACTACATTTAAAAACATTCACTCTTCTTCATCTTTACCATTCATCACAACTCTTGAATCAGCATTCAATACACAGCTAGATACAATAACATTTCAAGATAATTCGGTTGGTACATTTTTAGAAATGAATCAAACTGCTCCACTTAACACCACTACAGAAATGGATTATATCTTTTTAACAGATTCAAGTTTTTCAAATAATATATTCAAATCCTTATACGATAATAATAATTTCATTGTGATCAACTCTAATAACCCACATAATAATTTGGTTTTAAATGGTGTACAGTTTTATAAAAATAAATTATTAGGCTCAGATATAATACCATCAACAGACTCATCAGAATCGTCATCATCCTCCCAAAAAGATATATCTAAAAATAAACTTGTATCAACATCGTCGCTCATCAACTTACAGGGACCAAATAATTATAAACTATTAACTGTGGAATTTAGGGACACATTGGAATCAATCTTTTTATTGTATTTGGGTCAAACTAATGTATCTATGGTAAATTCAATTTTACTATCTGTTGATCCAGCAGGTGGTGTGGGCTCCAACATAACATTTGACTCCTTATCATTCATCGCACAAACTGACACTTTGTATCAATGCACAGGATGTCTCTTCAACGGTAAGGTTGGAATTAAACCTCCATTGATTAGTACCTCCACAGCAATATTGTTAATACTAGGTTTCCTCGTCACAATCGGTGTATTGGGTGTCTTGTATAGTAAATTTGTTCACAAAAAACTCACAGAATCTATTGGAGGCAGAATCAGGAGATATAAGGAAAAACGTTTCATTCATTTGGATAAGAATATAGCATCAACACTAGAACAAAGTGAAAGTTTATTAAGCGATTACGATGATGATAGTAGTTACAGTATAAATAATAATAATAATAATAATAACAACAATAGTGCCATCAATGATGACTATAATAAATTTAAAGTTGTAGGTGATTTAGAATAAAAAGTTTATTTTTTTGAAACAAACAAAATAAAAGTTTTTATGATTTTTGAATAAAAAAAGATATTTTTATTTTTATTTTTTTTTCTTAAAAAATTTCAATTTTGTGTGTTTAAAATTACGTGTTTTTTTGGTGATGCAATTTAAATTTAATAAAATTTAATTTGTAAAACAATCATATTAATATGATTTTTTTTTTTTATTTTATTATTTTTATAAATAAAAATTTTTTAAATAAACTATAATTAATTAAAAAATGAAAGTAATAATAGAAATTAAAAAACAACTTTTCAAGGATTTTTATGCAGTTGGGGCTACTGCATTGGGGATTTTCCTAGTATATAGCACCGGTCTTATAATAGAAAAGAAGTTACATGCATCAAAGAAAAGTGAAGCATCATCTTTTGATGTTGCCAAAGAAATATATAAAAATAAGGGTATCAAGGGATTTTTCAAAGGAACAACCTTTGCTTTGGGGTACAAAGTTATAGTAGAAACAGTTAAAGATGTTCAAAAAAAAATATTTTTTGATAGTAACGGTAATTTTAAAAGTGGGGAAGCTATAGCTGAAAAAGACAATGGTAATAAACTTATAAATAAAATCAAAAATAAAATTAAAATTAAAAAAAATATAACTCCAAGCGCAGTATCAATAGAATCACCCACTATTTTAAATAGTGGTTTAAATAAAATAACCAAAAAATTAAATAGTATTTATATATATTTAAATAATGATGTATATAAATTAGAGTTGCTAAATATAGTAAATGTAGTATTGGAATGTCCCTTATATTTGATAAGGGATTGCTTTTTAATATCACCCAATAAATTCAAATTCAAAGAGTTTTTTAAATCAATAAAAACATTTAAAGTAATCAAGTTATTTGCTTATTATGCAGGTGTCAGTATTTTAAAAAGTTATTCAGACACCCTCATTGATGCCATAGTTCAAGAAATTCAAAATAATTGCGAAAAGAAGCCAAATTCATTATTCAACTATTTAAAATTTGTCATTATCATTAACAACAATATAATTTTGAAAAGCTATTTCCAATCTCTAATCCTCTGCCCATTGGATTACATAAAAATCCAATATTCCTTAAAAGTTGTCGAGTCTATGGATTTGGGTATAACCGTGGGTGCTTATAAAGAAACCCAAATTCAGTCACCATTTGCAATCATTAAAAAAAGCGGTTTATCTGAATTATACAAAGCTTTCAATATTTCATTTATCAATAATATTTTGTCGAATGTACTTTCGAAATACTTAGATAACATGGAGTTGGTTTTAAATTTAATAGCTATAAAAAAAAATATCACCAAAAAATAAAAAAAATATTTAAGAGCAGTTTGCTGTGTGAAAATAAAAATGGTGTGGGGTAGAAAATTATTAAAAATTACCCATAAAACAGTATATTATTTTTTAAAAATAAATAGTTTTTATGGGACATTATATTTAGAACATCTCTAGTTATATATGGATTAAATTATGTAATGATTTGGAAAATGGTTTTTAAAAAAAAAATATTTTTTTATAAAATTATTTTAAAATAACTGAAAAAAACTATTAATGTTCCAAGAAATTTTTTTGATTTTAAAAAGAAATTGTTTTACTGATAATTCATATTGACACTCAGATCTCGTTTAATTTTTTTTATTTTAGTAAAGGTTAGAAATAAACAATTTTAATTATTTGAAATTAAAAATGAAAAAAATGAAAAAAAAAAACTATTTAAAGAAAAAAAAAAAAAAAAAAGATATTGACAAAACATAAATAAATAATATTAAAAAATAGTATTCCCTATAATTTTTTTTAATAATTGTAATAAAAATAATAACAGTGTTAATATTAAAATCATGACAGACAAAGATTATGATTTTTACGGATACCATACAAGCAACTCATGGAAGGTAGATATCATGCTTAAAGAATTATCAATTGAAAGTTTTAACTATACCGAGGTTGATATTGCTGCCGGTGAGCAATTCAAACCAGATTTTTTAAAAATGAATCCAAATAACAAAATTCCAGTATTAGTAGATAATACTATTTCCCCACCACTTGTTTTATTTGAATCCGCAACCATTTTAGAATATTTGGCTGATAAGTATAAAAAACTTTTACCTGGCCTTGATCGTCCAAGAGAACGTTATGAGGTCCTTAAATGGGTAATTATATATTTATATAAAAAAATTATTTTAAAAAATTAAAAAATTAATAATCTATTTTTAATTGTTATAGTTAACTTTTACTGTTGCTTCACAAGGTCCAAACATGGGTCAGCTTTTGTTCTGGAAGATCCACAACCAAGAAAAGGTTCCTGCTGCAATTGAAAAATCCCAAAAAGAAATAGAGAGAATTTATTCTGTTTTAGATGGTGTTTTAAAAGATAGAAGTTATATTGCCGGTAGCGAGTTATCAATTTGTGACATATCTTGTTATGGATGGGGTATGTACTTGAAATTTGGTATTGTCGTTGATGGATGGGAGGTAAAATATCCAAACTTCAAAAGGTGGGTAGATTTAGTTGAAACTAGAGCTTCCTTTCAACATGCAGTTAAGTTAGCCGATGAGGCAATTAGAAATTGGCAGGCTTCTAAAAAATAAAATAATTTAATAAAAAATGTTTTTTATTCAACACAAAACTAAATTTTATTTATTTTTTATTTTTTGTATTATTAAATATATGGAAAATAATATATTTTATTGGTTTTTTATCTATTATTTTGAACGAATTTAAGATAAAATGGTGCCCCTTTTTAAAAAAAAAAAAAAAAAAAAAAAAATAATTTATATATATTTTAAATAATATATATAAAATAGGTTTTTATTATCTATATCTCAGCCATTTTTGTTTCTCTATTAATAGAAAAAATTTAGTTTACACTGTTAATAATAATAATTTTGATAATTAAAATAAAAAAAATTATATGAAAATAAAAAAAAATAAAAAAATAAAAAAATATTTTTTTATTTTTATTTTTATTTTTTTAAAAAAATGATTTATCGAATAGAAAAGAAAATTAAATTAAATAGTAGTGGTAATATCGAGAACAACAGTAATAATAACAAAAACAAGTACAGCAAAAATAACGATAGCAATCGTCACGATAATAATATAGCAGACCTAGAAAACCTGTTCTGGGTTATATGGCGTTTTCATTTAATAAAAAAAAAGATTTTTTCGTTTATTCGATCGAAATCAAATTATGGTGTATACAAATATAATCAAATATACTCGGTACCATGGATGGTGAATAATAGTATTGGTTTACTTAAAGACAAGGTTTTAAATAAGGGGTATCTGGTTTTTTCAGACCAATTACACTATGAAGAAATAAAGGATAAAAAGGAATATGGGCGTACTTTCAAAAAGAAAACAATTTTTAATTCAATTACCGATGATAAAGAATTTTATTATAATCTCTTCAAAAATTATAAGCAGTTTTTTTTAACAAATTTCGAGTTTACCTTCAACTTATTATTAAAATATGATTGTTTAGTTGGTTATTTGGTTTTTAAAGAGTTGTATAGTAAAAAGAATAGTGGTGTTTATTGCAGCGAAGAGGTCTTTCATCACAACTATTCAGATCTGTTAGTTCAGTCAATTATTCATTCATCTTTTAATATGGCAGAATATTTTATCAAAAATTACAAAACTAGCATTTCCAAAAGAGATTTGAAATCAATATGTGCAAATTCTTCAGATTCGCTTATAGAAAAATTTAAATTTATACTTAAATATGCGCCAAAAAGTATTTTTGATAAAAACCTTCACTCCTTTTTTGTCAATTTAAAATTTCACAAATTAAAGCTTAGAATGTTATTGGAGCTGTGCTATATAATCGTATCACTAAAAGAATTAAATGAAGCTTATCCCGTGGAATCATTAGACTCTGAAGTGCCCATACCATCCAAAGAACAAGTATTAACAAGAGGGCAATTAGATGGTTTAGTATTTTCAAATGAAGAGCTGGAAACTGTAGTATATGAATTCCCAAGTGATAATTTGGCTATTAAATCATTATTAGAAATGACCGTATCTTTTTCAGGTCCCCAGCATCAGGAACAAAATTCTATATTTTTAGTATTAAAATACACCAAAATTCAAATTGAAGATCAAGCATTAACAAAGCTAATAGGAACACAAGAAAAAGGTTTAGAAATATCAAAATTTGCAATTTTATCACACTATCGCAAAATTAACCCATCTTCAAGTTTATTTAAATATACCAGGAATGATAAAGAGAAAAAATTAAAATTTTTAAAGCTTTATTGCAAAAGATTTTATAATAGTTCAAAAGAAAAAAACCTTTCAGACCAACAAATAGCGCAAATCAATCAATCAATATACCATAGTTTGGTTTTTTTCGATGACTTTGACTTGTTTGATTTTTTTAAAGTTTTACTCAATTCGGTAGTGTCAATAGGAAAGCTATTTGTTTTAAAAAGCGAAAAGATATTATATTATTATAAAAACAAGTATCCTCAAGACTATAAATTAAGTGTGTTAGAATTTATCAATACAGAATTCAGTGTATTTGGTGAGCAAACCTTAGAATTAAATGCATTTCAATTTATTTTAAAAAATAGAATCGATTTTGAAGCCATCCTATCAAGCAACAGTGGGTGTAGAAAGCTTTTAGAAATAGTTAAAAAGGATGATATGGAGTTAGAGCAATTTAAATTGTTTGTTTTAAATACAACCAACGAATTCACATTCAACCTAAAAAGTTTTTTCTTGCAATCTTTTAGCGAAAAATACTATGCTACTTATTTTTGGATTAAAGAGACAGAGCATTTCAATAGAGCGACCTTCCTCCCAAATCAATTAGAAGATGATTTATTATTGCATTATCATTTACAAAAACTAGAAATACCTGAAAACAGTGATCAATTGTGTAATAATGAAAGTTTGGTTTTAAAGATTGGGCAATCAACAGGCGAATATAATTTATCAGTTTTAGAATTTATAATAAGGAAATATTATATTACACCACAACCTTCAAGTAGCGTGGTGGTTTACAAAATATTGGATTATAGTTCAAGAGTTGGTAATTTAGAACCATTCAAGTTTATTTATGACCGATTTCCATTTATTTACCAAGGTGGACACTTTATTGAATATTCCAAAATATTTATAAGAAATGCTTGGCTTTATGGTTATCCTCAACTATTAGACTTTTTATTTAATTATCTTGGTTTAAGAAAATTTCATTCATGTATAACTGAAACAAAATATAACGAAATAAATAGAATTCTATTTTTAAATACATACTCTAAAAAGACATTATTTAAAAATTAATTTTAATAAAAAAAAAATTTATTTATTTAAAATTGCAAATTACAAAATTAATTTAATTTATTATATAATTTTTTTTAATGTTTCAATAGTTTTTTTTTTTTGAAAGAGTTGTTTTAAACTAATCTTCTTAAAACGTATGGAAGAATACCACCATTTGCATAGTATTCAATTTCAATTGGGGTATCGAAACGAAGAGTGGTTTCAAATGATTTGCCACATTTGGTTGTAACTTTGACAGTTTGACCAGTTTTAAGTTGACTCTTTTCTGGGAGTTCAATGGTGAATTGTTCTTGACCTGTTAAACCAAGTGATTGAGCATTTTCGCCAGATTTGAATTGTAATGGTACAATACCCATACCAACTAAATTTGATCTATGAATACGTTCGAATGAAGTGGCGATGACACATTTAATACCTTGGAGGTATGGACCTTTAGCAGCCCAATCACGTGAACTACCACTACCATAGTCACTACCAGCTAAGACGATGAGTGGATGACCTTCAGATTGATATTTTTCAGCAGCATCAGAAACAAACATTAATTCACCAGTTGGAATATATGTAGTGTTTGGACCAACAGATGGGGCTAATTTGTTAACTAAACGGGTATTGGCAAATGTACCTCTAACCATAATTTCATCATTACCTCTTCTGGCTCCGTATGTATTGAAATCTTCTGGTTTAACACCTTTTGATTCGAGATATCTGGCAGCTGATGATTTTCTATTGATGTTACCGGCTGGTGAAATGTGATCAGTGGTAATACTATCACCGAGATTTAAAAGACAGTAGGCATCTTTAATTGGTGGTCTTTGTGGTACAGTGAGTTCCATTGTTTTGAAGAATGGTGGGTTGTGAATATAGGTAGAGTTTTCTTCCCATGGATATAGGAGACCAGTTGGTACTTTAAGCTCATTCCAGCTCTTGTTGCCATCAGTAACATTGGCATAGATACTCTTATACATACTTGGAAGAACATTCTTTTCGATAGTTTCTTGAATTAATTGTTTTGATGGCCAAATATCACGAAGGAATACTGGTTGACCAGTCTTTTTAGAGATACCTAATGGATCGGTTTCAAAGTTGAAATCTACAGTACCAGCAAGAGCATAGGCGACAACTAATGGTGGTGAAGCAAGATAGTTGGCTCTTAATAATGGATGGATACGAGCTTCAAAATTACGATTACCAGATAAAACACCAGCAGCAACTAAATCAGCTTTAGTGATGGCTTCAGCAACAGGTTCAGATAAATCACCACTATTACCGATACAAGTCATACAACCATAACCAGTTAAGTTGAAACCTAATTTGTCGAGAGCATCTTGGACACCACTGTGTTTAAAGTATTCAGTGACAACACCTGAGCCTGGGGATAATGAGGTTTTGATATATGGTAAAACTTCAAGACCATGTTCAACAGCATTTCTAGCTAAAAGACCAGCACCTAACATAACTGATGGATTACTTGTATTGGTACAACTAGTAATGGCGGCAATAGCGACAACACCATTACGGATAGTATATTCTTTGCCCTTAAAGTTAATGGTTGTTTCTTTTTTGATTTGTTCTTGGGCTAAACCAAAACCTTTGAAACCAACTGGGGATGAAAGACAGCTGTTGAAATCTTTTTGCATGTCGGTAAGTGAAATACGATCATGTGGTCTTTTTGGACCAGAAAGAGATGGAACAACAGTTGAAAGATCTAACTCCATAGTAGTGGTGAAAACTGGATGATTTGGTGAATTATAATCACACATTAAATTTTGAGTTGAAAGATATTGTTCAATGAATTTAATGTTTTTATCTGGACGACCAGTTGATAAAAGATATTTAATTGTATTTTTATCAGCTGGGAAGAAACCCATGGTAGCTCCATACTCTGGTGCCATATTGGAAATAGTGGCACGATCTTGAACTGAAAGTGATGAAACACCTTCACCAAAAAATTCTACAAATTTACCTACAACACCTTTCTTTCTTAATTCATTTGTAACTGTTAAAACTAAATCTGTAGCTGTAGCTGTATCTGGTAATTTGCCTGTAAATTTATAACCAACAACTTCTGGTAAAACCATTGACATCTGAAAAAAAAAAAAAATTAAAATTTTTTATTTTTTTTTTATTTTTTTATTTATTTTTTACTTACAGGTTGACCCAACATGACAGCTTCGGCTTCAATACCACCAACACCCCAACCACAAACACCTAAACCGTTAATCATGGTTGTATGTGAATCAGTACCAACAACACTATCTGGGTATAATAAGTTATTTTTATTCATTACTTCTCTTGCTAAATATTCTAAATTAACTTGGTGAACAATACCATAACCTGGTGGAGCAATAAAGAAGTCGGAAAATGCTTGAGCACCCCATTTTAAGAAACTGAAACGTTCATGATTTCTGTTGAATTCAATTTTTTGATTTTGTTCTAATGCATCAACACTATTAGTAATGATAATAATTAAAAGGGTTAGTAAAAATTTAAATTAAATTAATAAAATTGTATACATTGTATACATTACGTTCTAGCAACATCAACTTGAACAGAGTGATCAATAACAAGATCAACTGGTACTAATGGATTGATTTTAGATGGGTCGCCACCTAATCTCTTCATAGCATCACGCATAGCAGCAAGATCAACAACAGCTGGTACACCAGTAAAATCTTGTAATAAAACTCTTGCTGGTTTGAATGGAATTTCAATATTGTTGGCTGTTTTTTCCCAATTTAAAATATTTTCGACATCTTTTTCATGAACAGCAAAATTATCACAATTACGAACGGCTGATTCTAAAAGAATTCTAACTGAATATGGTAACTTTTCTGTAAAAAAAAAAATAAAAAAAATAAAATTAAAAAAAAAAAAAAAAAAATTTTAAAAGATTTATTTAAATATAAAGAAAAAAAAATAAAGTGTCAATATTAAATGTTTACATTTTATTTTAATGATTAATAATATTAATTTAATATTTACCAATTCTTTTATCTTGAAGTTTTTCAATGTTGTAGAAATGATATGTTTCACCATCAACAGTAAAACTATCTTTAACCTTATCAAATGGGTTTGTCATTTTAATATAAATATGTATTTTATAAAAAAGATTTATAAATAATTTAAAATGAAAAAAGGAAAAAGAAAAAAAAAAAATAATTTAATATAAATATATTAAAAAGAAAAAAAAAAATTAAAAAAAAAAAAAATTTAATTTAATTTTTCAATTTTTTAAAAAATAAAAATAAAAAAAAATAAAAATAAAAAAAAAAAAATTGATGGATTTTTTTGCACCATACATATACAAAACAATAATAATTCATTTTAGGGAAGAAATTTCATTTTTTATTAATAAAAAAAAAAAAAAATTAAAAAAAAAATAAATAATTTGTATTTTATAAAATTATAATAATAATATTATCACACATTTACAATCTAAAATTAATATGGTAAATATTTCTATTATTATAATGATAAAATATTATCATTTATTATAATAGAAAATCTGAAATAAATCTAATTATTAAATTTTTTTTTTTTATTTTAAAGAAATAAATAAAATGGAAAATATCAAATTTAATACTAGCAATGAAAATAATGTTATAACATTAACAAGTAATAATAATAATAATAATATCAATAATGATAATAATAACAATAATACAAATAGTATAGACTGGTCAAATCATAAAGAAGTTGTTTTACCAAATTTAATAGTGGTCAAAATATTAGAGCTTTACATTGAATATTCAGAATCAATTAAATATAACGAATTGCAATTGTTATCATTGGTATGCAAAAAATGGAACTCTTCCATCGTTCCGAAATTAGAAAGATTTAGAATTAGCAAATGTAATGACTATGTAAAAACCTTTTCAAATATGCAAAACTTGGTTGAAAGATTAAAACGATTTGGTCTTAAAAGTGGTTATTCATATGGCAATAATGTTTATCGTTCCGAAACAAAACGTATCCAAAATGTTTTAAATATGATATTACAACCGAAAATAATAGAAGACACTATTAATTATTTTAACGAAGATATTTTAATAGATGGCATACAATGTGGAACTCTTTTTGATCCTGACACCAGCAAAATCAAAAGTTTTGCAACTACAACAATAATGAAAAATGGTAAAAGCCAGCCCTTAGAGATTGATGCGTCAAGAGTTCAAATAACACAGTTACAACTTTCACACCATAGATATTATTATCCAAAACATAAAATTTCTTTAGATAAGCTTTTCATCTATGAAGAGGGTAAAACTTATGATGTAGATCATTTGAATGAAAGAAAAACTACTAATGAAGCACCACAGTATGGTGTATTTCTTACAGGAATTCCTTGTAATGAATGTGAAGGCTGTACATTAGAATTAATAGATCCTCCATCAATTAACTATATTTATGGAGATGTCAATAATAGACATGAAACTACTTCAGAATACCAATTAGCAACAAATCTTGTCAGTCGTAAGTTTCAAACCGTATTGTATTGTGACTCAATAGAATTCCTAAACAATTCAGTAAAAAGAATTAAACCAATTTCTAGTGGTACATGCTTAGTATTAAAATATAATATTTTTTATGATGAATCTGAGTATGATATTCTCAGAAATAGTAATAATAATAATAATAATAATAATAATAGTAATAATATAAACACCATTATAAACGATGTATATGGTTTTAATGTACCCGTAATGAATCAATTTTTCAAAGAAATTCAAGAACCTTTAAAAAAATTTAATGTTGGAATAACATTGGGATCCGTTTATTCAAATACCAAAATAAAATATGGCCATTGTGAACCCTTGAAAGGTAGGGATATAATACTCTGGCACTTTTTTAAAGAGAAGTTTGGTTTGGATAAAATAAGAGTTTCCACATTACTATATTCAACAAAAGATGGTTTTATTGAAGAGTTGAACCATAGGAATGTTCATGATGGGAATATTACAATGACAGAGTCGAAACATACCGTTATTTTCTCTTCCATTGATCTTGAGGAATCAAATGAATTTCATGTAGAAGACTACAGCGAAAATAGAGTTTTAGTATTTTCAGCAATTATCATATTTAAATAATGATAGTAATAAATAATTTTAAGTTTTAAATTTTTAAAAAAAAAAAAAAAAATACCTATCTTTTATTTATATCTATCACTTTAACAAATCTAATCAAATCTATATTTAAATTAATTAAAAATTCGTTGTTATTATGGTAGCATATAATTTCTTGTAATGTGTTTGGAATTGTTGTAATGTTGAACCTAGCTTTACTTGCACCTATAAATATTGACTCTATTTTTTTTAAATCTGTTAATATTTCATCTGTGATTGACCTATTAAAGTTTCTACCTAGTTTTAAATCGACCAAATCTTTAGGTAGATATACTAATGGTTGGTTATAGTCGTCACCAAAGGTAAGCGAAGTTAGATTGGGTGGCAATGTTCCCTCTTCCATTGGAAAGTTATATTCTGTAGAAAAAAATTAAAATTAGTTTTTTATAATTATGTATTTATTATATTTTATTATTTATAAAAATTAACCTACCCTGACCCAATCTTAAGTCTGTTAGTGTGGATGGAAGAGAATATGGTATAATTTTTGTGTGATGATAATAACCAAATTGCAATTTTTTTAAATTGTTTAAATTTTCTAATAAACCAACTTCTATGGATTGATTAAATTTCGAACTTAATATAAGAGTTTCCAAATCTGTGGGTAGGCTATTTGGGAGAAGAGGTTTATTAAAGTTTCCACCGAGTGAAAGATATTTGACTGAATGCGGTATATCATTAGGTCTAATTATTTGATTGAAGCTTTTATCAAACTTTAATATTTGAACCCCTATAGGAAGTGAGTTTGTGAGTGGTTGGTTAAATGAGTACCCAAAGCATATAGTTGTACAACTCGAAGGAATTATTGAAGGAGGTATTATTCGGTTAAATCCTGCGCCCAGCTTTAAAGAGGTTAAAGATGAAGGTAGTGGATGGTCTAAATGATGGTTAAAATATGGACCAAATTCGAGCTTTTTTAAATTTTGTGGGAGAGAGTTGGCTATAATCGGTGATGAAAAATAGGTACCAAAGGTTAAATCAGTTACATTTGGTGGAATTGACCCTGAATAAAGTATAGAGTTGTACAATAATTCTGTGCATGATGAAGGAATTGTATCAGGTTGAATTTTTAATACGTTTGGGCTGTAGGATTTAAAACGGACAAGGTTTGATGGTGAGCAAAATGCATTCGATCTGATTTCTTTAAAGTCAAAACCCAAAACAATTTCCATTAGACTCGATGGTAAAGAATTAGCAAGCAAAAGCTGGTCAAAGTGGTAACCCAGTGTTAGCTTTATAGTATTTTGTGGTATAATACCAGGTCCAATACTATGGCAACATCTATTAATATCTAAGAATGTAATGGAAGAGGGAAGAGATCCTGAAAGCAATGGCTGCTTGGTACAAAGATAACCGAAATGAAATGATAGTAGCCCATTCGGTAAAACACCATGAATCAATGGTTGCGAATATTCATTTGGTAATTGAAGATCGGTAAGTGAGGAAGGAAGTGATCCAATTTGTAGGGGATAGTTAAAGTTACCAATTATTATTAGTTTCGTTAAAGTAGCTGGTAAAACCCCTGGATACAACGGGTTGTTGAAACCCTTGTCTAGAAATAAAAATTTAAGATTTTGGCCCAAAACCCCTGGTACCAGAGGACTATCAAACTTATCACCAAATATAATTGAAGTGAGTGAATCTGGAAGCATTCCCGGCTCTAGTATTTGTGAAAACTCTGGACCAAATCTAACTGATAAAAGACCATCGGGTAACACACCTTTTAAAGGCTTGTTAAAACTATAGCCAAAATTAATTTCAACTATATTTCCACCATTACTTAAACTGCCAACTTCTAATTTTTGATTAAAGCTTAAACCAAAATTAACTCTAGTAACACTTGGTGGTAATGAAAATGGCATAATCTTATTGTTGTATGTATCTCCAAATGAAAGATCTGTGACTGAACTAGGTATCATTGACTCTTTGATTTCTTCATTAAAAATATCACCAAACTTTAATACTCTAATACTATTATTATATTTTAAAAAATTTATTAATTTGTAATAGTTTTCAGTTTTATAACTTTTTATTAAAATATCATTTTTATTATTATTACTATTGATGTTATTATTATTGATAAAACTACTATTATAACTATAATTATTACTATTATTATTATTATTATTATTATTATTATTATTATTAACTTCCATATCAAATATTAATAATACATTATTGCAATAGTCTCTGTATTTATAGCTATAAAATGTTTTTATTGAAAAGAATCTTTGATGTTGATGAATTTTAAATATTTGACAAAAATATAAGATCTTGTATCTTAGAAATTGGTTTTTAAAAACTTTGAAAAACAAATAATTTAATTTTTCATTTTCCTCATTGTTATCATCATTATTATTTTTATTATTATTATTATTATTATTAGTATAAGTTAATAAATTGTTTTTATAGAAATTATTTATGTTGTTATAGTTAAACATTCTATGTACTAATAAATATATAAAAAAAAAAATAAAAAAATCTTTTCATTAAATAAAAAATTTAATTTAATAATTTTTTAAAAAAATTAATTAATTTTTTTTTTTTTTTTTTTTTTTTTTATTTATTTTTTCATATTTTTTTTTATTTTCATTCAATCCATATTTTTATTTTATAAATATAAATATTGTAAATAATATTTCTTTTAATTATTCAATGTATATATATATTTTTTATTTGTTTATAATTAAAAGAAATAAAAATTAAAAATAAATAATTAAAATAAAAAAAATAAAAAAAAAGAAAATTTTATTTGAAATTATTTTTTTAAAATTTTTTTTTTAAAATTTTTCGTTTTTAAAAATATTTTTTTTTTCAAATTAAAACCATTTAGCAATAAATCCTCTTCGTTTTTTTTCTTTAAACATATCATAACTATATCTATATTTATAATAAAATAATAATTTATAATAAAAGAAAAAAATGAGTGGTAATAATTCACAATTAACTATAGAGAATTTAATTGAAGTTATTAATGGATTAAATAACCCAACACTCAACAAACAGTACGAAGCAAAGTTAAATTTGATTTCAAATCAATATGGTTTCGGTGTTGCATTAGCAAAACTTGTAAGTGATAAAAACTTTGATCCAATTCATAGACAATTCTCTGCTATTCTTTTAAAGAATTATATTCATAAACATTGGGAAAATGTCGATGGTGAAGATGTCTATGACGTCGGTGTAGACCAAAATGCTTCAGCTAGCATTAATCAAGAAACAAGATTGGCATCAACTGAAGAAAAATCACAAATTAAAACTTTACTCTCCCCTTTATTATCTGATCCTTCATCAAAAATCCGTACTGGAATTGTAAATATAATTAAAATAATAATAATAATAATAATATTAATAATAAAATGATTAATATTAATAATTTATCTTTCTTTAATAGGGAATGTGTATTGCAAAGATTGGAGCATTTGAATGGCCACATGATTGGCCAGGATTAGTTGATGATTTGGTTATTTGTTTAAATCCAAATAATCCAGATTTATTTGATGGTGCAATTAGATGCTTGGAAATTTTAAGCGATCCAGAATTTTTATCAGAAGAGCAATCTGAATCATTAATGGATATGGTTTTCCCAATTTATACAGATTTATTAACTAAAGATATTGGAGCTATGGAGCAAATTAGAATCATTAATGTTTTTAGAAACACAGTTACACATGTTACTTTTATAAAGTCAATCTCAAAGGTTCTCTCAAATAAATTAACTAAATTTTTACCAACTTGGATACCAATATTTATTAATCATCTTTCAAGAGTTTTGGACATCAATTCACCAAAAATAAATCATCATTTCACAATCATGACTGGTATCATCGAAATTTTTGCTCTCTTGGTCCAAGATTTCCCAAAGAAAATGAAGCCACATATTCAACAAATCGTTTCACCAATTTGGACTCTCTTTAATAGCTGTTATCCAATCTTTGAAAAAGTAGAAATCAATCCAGTCCACGGTATAGTTAGCAATTTTGTTGAAGACGGTGTTACCAAAATCGATCGTTTAGTTTCATCAATTTTTGACTTTTTATTACAAATCTTTACAAGAAAAACCAATGAAATGTTCACCCCATTTTTAAAACAAATCTACATAACTTCACTTCATTATATGCAAATGAGCTACGATTTAATTGATCTTTGGGAAAACGATCCAAATTTATATTTAGAGAACGAAGATGAAAATACCTACAGTCCACGTGTTGTTGCCTCCACTCTTATTCAAGAAGTTTGTGAAAGCTATAAAGAAGATGGTGTTTCTGCACTCTTTGAAGCAATCTCTGAATGTTTTATTGAAGCCAATAACAACAAAGAAAAAAGCCAATCTTGGTGGAAAATTAGAGAAGCCGCTCTTTATGCTCTTTCAAATTCATCAGAAGTTTTAATTAAAAAAAAACTTTTTAATTCTTCTCAGTTCCTTCAAACTAATTTAACTCAAGATTTTGTAGATGTACCAAATACCCCAGATGTTGGTCTTCATATTTTACGTAGTCGTTCCCTTATTTGTGCAAGTAAATTTACAAAAGATGTAGATTCATCAGTCACTGTCCAATTTTTTAAACAAGCTATTCACTTATTAAATTCAGATGAATCAGTATCGCCATTACAATTAAAACTTAGTGCTATTATAGCAATTGGTGGTTTTGGTCCAAAGATTGATCGTGATATCATCTGCCCATATATTCCAGACACAATCCATATACTCACAGGTTTAATTGGTCAATTATCAAGTGACAGTTTATCATTATTATTGGAATGTATTCTACTTTTAATTAAAATTGACAAAGATATTACTGGTCAAATGGAGCCACTTCTTACTCAACACCTCTCACAAGCTTGGGTTAATTATGCCAATGATCCACTTATCAATGACGTATTAAAAGATATCTTTAGAACTATTTGTGCTTGTCCAAAATCATATCCAGGTATTTTACAACGTATGGTTCCTACTCTCAATATCATTTTAAGTGCTTATAACAAACCCATCTATTTGGCTGTTGCTGATTCTGCTGTCGATATTACTGGTGTTATTATGGCCCGTATTGAACAATCTATTGATCAATATCTCTTAGACCAACTCTTTGCTCCACTTTTAAATATTTTAATGGCTGGTTCCATCGAAACTGAAAGAGGAATAATCAAGGCTGCACTTTTTTCAGTTTTACCATTTGTCTATAAAACACCAGCAGAACTAATGGTTCAATGGACATTTACACCACAGAACTCCAACCAACCAGTTACTGGTCTTCATGCTGTTCTTTTAGCCTGCAAGCGTATCCTCATGGAATCTGACCCATTTGTTATTGTTGATGTACCACAAATTATCAATGCAATTCTCGTTCATCACAGTGATGCTATTAAAAATCAATTATCATCTTTATTCGAGTTAACTCTTCAAGCCTTTTACAACTCTAAGCTTCCAACACAAAAACAAGGTTTTTCTTCAATTTTTGCCCGTTTAATTATTCAACATAAAAATCTCCTCATCGACTATTTAGCTGGCATCCCAGGTCCAAACAATGAAGGAACTGCCTTAGAATTCGTATTGAATGAATGGCAAAAGCACCATTTCGATCTTACTAATAAACTCGATAATAATGTATCCATTGTTGCAATGTGCACTCTTTTCAGTCTCAACGATAAACGTTTAGAGTCAATCATGGTAGATGGTAAGTTAAATTTACCACCAGGTTCAGCTCGTTCAAGAAAAACTGGAGCAACTTGGACTAAAGAACCATTATTTGTAAAAATAGTTCAAAACCTATGGGAGGTAATTTATATGGAACAACAGGAGAAAAATAATACCAATAATAATACCCTAGAAGAAACAGATGACGAAGATGAAGAGGATGACGAAGATGAAGAACCAACAGAAGAAGATATTAAAAATTATTATGGTGATATTAAAGTCGAAAACGGATTTGCCAATGCCGAGGATTTTGCAGATATGTTTTCTGATGATGGTGACAATTATTCTTTGAGCGGTGATGAATTTAGCGAAAATATTATAGATATTTTAACAAAATCAGACCCAATATATAACTTAGACCTCAAGCAATATCTCGAAAATTTCTTTGATAATATTTCCAAAACATCTCCTCAATCAATTTACGAACAAATCGCCCCAACCTTAAACCAATTAAAAATAAATATGTATAAATTTTAATTTTTATAATAAAAAATAAAATTTTTATATTTTAGACATAAAAATTTAATAAATTATAAATACTGTAAAATAAAAAATTGTTTTAAATTTCTAAAGATATAGTTTATTTATTTAATTCCTTTAATTTAGCTTCAAAATATAATATTTTTTTTCTTTTTATTAGATAAACAATAGTTGCAATAATTACAGCTACAAATACGGTACAACCAACAACTATTCCTGCAATTTTGGCAGTACTGAGTTTAGATGAACTTGAACAAATTGAATTTTGGGAATTTTTGGAAGCTGGTGATGGTTCAATTAAAACTGAAAAATCTGGATCGATAATTACATTGGATTCGAAATAACTAATTTTAATAGCAATTAATGAATTGGATGAATATTCATTATTTTTAGATCCTTCGTTAAATATAATTTGGTTTGATATACTTTTGATATTACTATCATCGAATACACCTCTTTTTATAAATTTACCATATAATGAATGATTTTCAACTTGAATCTTTATGTAGTTTGCATTATCACCTTCTGTTGTATTGCCAAATTGATTTGATGAGCAAATGTTGTCGGTTTTCTTAGATTCTATCGATGCTGACATTACTAATTCTAAGGAATTTAGTTTTGATTCGAAAGGGTGGTTTTCGATTTTGATCTTATATTTAATAGTTGAAGGGTTCATCTTTATAACTTGATTGGCAAATGTAATGTTACTTTCATTCTCGAACCATTCTAAAGTTACCTCGATGTTTGTGGTGGTATTTAATTTCCCAGTGATGTTGGTATGATATTGATATATGTTATCTGTTAAGTTTTTATACACCCATTTCTCTAATTTCTTTTCAAAAATTTGAGTGCCATCTATACCTATTTCTCTTATTGAGACTATTGAAATAATTGATTTATAAATAATATCATTTTTGGAATTGTTTGATGGTATATCAACAACAGTTGTTGGTGAGGTATTATTTATGGTTGGTTGTGGAATAATAATTGTTTTAGATGAGCAGTCATTACCAATCCAAGGGGAATAACAAATACAACCTGTTGTTGAACAATAGCCATTTGTAGGACCGTTACACCTTGGGGCACCTTGGCATTGTTGCTCTGGATTTACTGGTAGTTCTTCGGATTCATCAGGAATATCAACAATTTCTATCTTTGGATAGGGAATAATTTTGAATGGATCAATTTGAACTTTATTGGTTTGGAATTCAAATTTTAAATAAAATGGTGATAAATCAGAAGGTATGTTCGATAAATATAAGGCGCCGTTATAGTTTTTGTTAATAGTAAGTGGGGTAAAAAGAGTTGTTGAATTATCAAATACAATTGTAATCTGGTTAATATTGGAAAACCCTCTACCATATATCCATAAGTTACCTCCATCTACTGTTATTATACCTGAATCAGATATACTGGGATAGTTTGTTGACATTGTTATTAAAGATGATGGTATTTGGAATAAAACATTTAAGTTTGATAGGTCATTTGTATTGAAGCCAGAGAAGTAACCTCCATTATTTATGAGAGAGTAAACTTGTAAAAATAAACCATATGGATATCCAAATCCAATAGGTAATGTACATTTAAAAATAAATTCACTTGAAAATTCAGATATTTCATTAATTGAAGTAATGTAATTGCATTTGTGAACTCTGCCATTAGAGTCTGAAAAATAAATTGATGGAGTTTGACCTTTCTTTAAACCAGATTCATTATCTTTTGCTTTAATTGATAGATGTAAATCTCTTGAGTTGCTACCTACATCCAAAGGGTTTGTTTGGCTTGGACCATTTATTATTTCGAATGAATAAAGCTCCGGAGGTGAGGTATCTTCACTCGATGAGCAAAATGTTGATATCTTGAAAAGAGTTTCCTCTGTACCATAATAGTAAATGAATGGATTTGAAAGCGAGTCAATAAAACTGGTTGTAAAACTTGCATGGGAGAATGTAGAATTGTATCCTTGCTCGTCATAAAGTTTGGCATCGGTTATAATGTAATCTTGAGAAATACATCTTGACAAAATGGTAATGTTTATATTGTAGCTTCCATTAAATATATCACCATATATAGCATCTGATGGAGAAATAGTAAAATTATACAAAGAGCCATCAATAGAGCCTCTTACAGTTATAAACCCACTTTTGAAACCATTATAGTCATCAATGATATCAAACGTCCAACCCACAGTTGTATCCTGAGTTATATCTATTCTTGAAAGTATTGGGAATTGTTTTAAGGATGTAATAATTGGACCATAGGAATCTTCGTCTAAAAAAACAAATAATTAATATAAAAATTATTATATTTTTTTTAAATAAAAAATAAATACTTTTGGAAACAATTGAAAACTGGGCTTCCTCGGGTAAAATCGAGCTTGGCAGCTTAGTTTCCCAATCAAAAAATAGAAAATATGGAATTTTACCACTATGGTAGTTTGCTTTTACAAAAAATTCTACTTGAAACATTTTGATAGTTGAGTTCCAAAATGCTGGCCATAAATCTTTTAAAACAAAATCATTAAAACTAACCGTGTCATATAAAACTAATGAAATCGGTGTCTCTATATCTATATTTGTATAGTTGAAATACAATATATTGCCACTTGTTTTATTTGTAACATCTATTCTTTTATTAAGAATTTTAGCATATGATACTTTGAAATAATCAAATTCTATTTTTAAAAAAAAAAAAGTTAATAATACTTAAAAATTATTTTTTTGATATTATTTTACGTACCATAATTATTAAACTTTGGTTTTTGAAACATTTTAAATTGATTGTAATTGTAAAGTAATCCGGTATTTATTTGAGGAATACTTTCTTCATTTACTCTAATATTCATGGTGTTAAAAAATATATTGTGAGGAATATCAAATGTTCCATTATATAAATTACCAGTAGATAATGTTTCTGTATAAAAATATTCGAAAATATGTCCATAAAAACCCCATTTAGTAATTGGGTAATTATTTGTTGCTGTTATTCTTATAATAAAAAAAAAGCTATGTAAATGTATAAACTCAATATTTTCTATAACCAAATGATCTACAGATGAATAAGAGTTTAATGGGGTTATTTTTTTTAAAAAATAGAAATTATTTGATTGATCTTCACCCTTGAATAATTCTATAATAGAATCTCCTGTATATACTCCTAAAAATAATATTTTTTATTAGATAAAAATAATATATTTTAAAATAAAAATTTTTTTTACCAAAGATAGATTTAAAAAAGGTAGGAGCATAAATAAACTGTTTATTATTCCCATTTCTAAAACCGTATGGAGAATCAAGATAAATTTCCTGATTGTAATAAATATAATTTGAAGTTAAATTATAAGTACTGTTTGAATTGCAACTAATTTCAAAATAACTATTAAAATCATTTAAATCACATTTTTCTAAAAAGGGGATATATGTTTTATCTATTTTAAATAATTAATAGATATATAAATAACTTTAAATATTTTATAGAAAATACTTACAGTTATAATTTATATTTAAATTAATAAAATCGTAGTATTGATTATATTTTTGGGCTGAAATTTTTTTTTGACCAATTTTATTATCAAAAAAACCAATATATTTTGTTTTACCATTTTTTTTAGATATTGGTTTGTAAAAAAAATCCAAAGAAGCTATGTTATTTGTTTGTAAGATATATGTTGGTTTATATTTATTAGTGTTATTAGTATAAAATGTGAAAACTGGTAAATATCTTTTACTATATACATTAACTGTGTTTAGATTGGAGCCAGAAATAACCATATTTGGATATGTAACAATATCACTAACTATATCATAGGCTATGTCATATAAATATTAATATTAAATTTTTTTTTTTTTTTTTTAATATAACTTACTTTTGGTATCTTTATTATTTGATAGAATACTGATGGAAGTTTTTGGAAATGTAATATTTGTTTGGTATATTTCTTTTGGGATATCAATTATATAAAGAAACAGATATTTTCTATTAATTGGTATAATGAATAAGTCTGAATTTGCTTTTGTTAAAAGAGGGTATTTTGCATTATAAAAATCATACACCATTAACTCTCTTCCAGAAGCATCTAAAAAGAAACTCGGTGTTAACTCTCTATAAAGTACATCTGGAGCATTAACATCTATTTATAAATAAATATATTAATATAAATAGAAAATTGTTTCTTTAAATGTTTAACTTACCTATACATTGATGATTTAAAGTATAAGTTGTAAACTCACCAGATATATCATCTGTGATAGTGAGAATAGAAGAACCATTTGAGATATTAGATTTAATATTAACTGCTACAATTTGACTTGTTTCATTATTTTGATTATAACCTATAATATTATTAAAATTTGGTGGGGTGACTCTAAAATTTGAAATTTCCTTACCACTTATAAATAATAAAAAATTAAAATCACAACCTAAAATAATATTATATTGTATATTTTGTTCTTTATTGAGTGTAATTTCTCGAACAACTATTTGGGTTTTAATAACCTCTAAAAATGAAATAATAGTTAATAATAAAATAAATAAATATTTTAATTTCATTGTATGGTTTTTTTTGTAAATAAAAAAAAAAAAAAAATCTTTTTTTAACATTTACAAAATTGACATGAATTCAAAAAATGGTATTTAAAAAAAATAAAAGATTTTTTTTGATTGGGATATTTTTTTTTTTTTATTATTGGGATTTATAGAAATAATTGGGATTTTTGGAAAAAAGATTTTTTTTTATTTTGTTATTTTTGAAAAAAACTTGGTGATTTTGCTGAAATTAATAAATTGTTTTTTTAAAAATAGAAGGTGATTATTTTAAAATGGTTTTGGTATTAAATGATGTGATATACAATTTTAAAATTGTATTTAGAGTTTTTATTAATGGGTTTTTAAATATAAAAATCTAAATATTAACGTGTTTTTTTCTTTTTTATTTATGACGTAGCAATAAAAAAATAAAAGGAAAAAATAATTATTGTAAAAAATGTTTCTAGAAACTGGATTCTTGAAAAAAAAATTTTAAATTTGATTATTAATTATGTAACACAATCTGTTTTGTTAGACTAGGATAACACAAGTGAAAAAAAAGGGTAATATAATAAAGGTAATTAAATGATTGAAATTTAGTAAACAATTGGTTAAATTTAAAATATTTATATTATCACATTCTCTGGTTTTTATTTTTTTAATTGAGTAAAATGAATAATAAAAAAATGGGGATAAAAAATTATAAATAAAAATAAAAAAAGGAATAAATTATAAATATTAATTAAAACAATTTTTTTTTTGTAAAACTCTTTGTTTGTGGTAATTAAATTTTAACAAACAATATTTAGGAATAAAAGAGAATAAAATATTATTTTTCTATTTATTTTTAATAAAAATTTTTATTTATATTTTAGTTTTTTTTTTTTTTTTTATAATTATTTTTTTTTTATTTTTAAAACCAGTTTTAAATTTTATTCTTCAATTTAAAAGAAATCGACCTAATTTAAGTATCAGCAACTTCAGTTGTTAATCCTTCATCAGATGATAAGAAACCAGTTACAAAATCTGTTATGAAGTCTGTAATATCACCAGTATCAGCAACTTCAGTTGTTAATCCTTCATCAGATGATGAGAAACCAGTTCCAATATCTGTTATGAAATCTGTAATATCACCAGTATCTAAAAAGTCAGTAGTTATGCCATTTGATGAATCGTCTGAGCTGCTAAAACCGGTTGTAGTAATTACTTCTGATGATGATGATACTTCTGATGACGAAAAGTCAATACCTCCTGTTCCACCTCCAATACTGTTTGGGCCGGTAGTAACTAAAGATGCAATTGTGGTACCGTGAGCTGAAGCAGTAGTAGCAATAGTGGAAGCAGCAATAGTATTTGGTGAAATACAAGTTGGAACGATTGGACAACATTCTGGGTCTAAGAATAATCTATGTTTGGATACTGGGGTTAAGACACAAACTAATCCATTTTGTTCACAATGCATTTCTTTACAGGTGAGACAGTGTGGTCTCTTAATTCTTTCACATGATGGACCATTTTCATATAACTTGCATTTATAACCTCTTGGACATCTTACTTTAGAACAATCACCAATTGGTGATTTAACGCAAATTGCTTTAACTCTATTTGGATTGTTTCCACAATGGGATGGGTGTAATTGCCAATGGTGTTTGATGTGATGTTTGAACCAACCACCTTCTGGTTTTGGTAAACATCTGTAATTATCTGGGCAGATTAAATCTCTACAAGCATCACAGTCTTCTGGTTTATGTGGGTCACTAACACATTTGGCTCTCTTTCCAATGATTTCGCAATGATGACGTCTTGGGCAATGAACATTTTCACAGCTCTCCACAACTTCAACACAAGAAGCCTTTCCATTTTCAGCTTTGCATTGCCATCCTCTTGGACAGTATTGATTATAACATGGGTCTTTAATAATTGGTTTATGTTCATGCTCGGGTTTTTTATGGTGTGGATTCCAATCACCATGGTGTGGATTTCCATGAGGATTTCCATGATGGTTACCTTCCCATCCTACTTGACCACCACCACCCTTTCCCCATCCATCATTCTCTTTTTCCCATAGTGAACCCCATCCACCATTGTTATTGTTACTTTCATAAGCTATTTACCAACAAAATAAAATTATTAATAATCTTAATAACAAAAAATTATTTTTTATAAAAAAAATTAAATAAAAACTTACCACTAACAGATGCAATTATATAAAGAGAATAAATAAAAAGAATTAATGATTTTACTATTCTCATTTTTTATTTTTTAATTTTTACTATTACTATTACTATTATCTATTACAATTATTATTATTTTATTAAAAGTTTAAATATTTTATTATTGTCACACTTCTATTGAACATTAATGTTTAATTTTGGTACTGGTATATTTTATTTAAACAAAAAGTAATACTACAAGATTTTAAAATAAATACTAATGTTTTGTATTGGTATAAATAGAACAACAATATTATTTAAAGTGTATAAACTCTATTATTGAAATTGTATCTATTATTAAAAAGATTGAATAAAGAAAATTAAAATTAAAAAAAAAATTGAAAAATAAAAAAAATAAAAATAATAATAATAAATAAATAATTTTATTTAATTAATATGCATAATATTAATTTAAAAAATTATAACAGAAAATATTTGTATAATAAAATAATTTTTATCAAAAAAATTGTAGAATACAAATAATAAACTCACCCACACATTTGAATATAAATATATACATTTTCCCACTCTACTATAATAACAAACACTCATTCACACCCACACTATAATTAACTATTTTCAACTATTCATACGAACCCACACATACACACACTCATTATATTTTTACTTTCTATCATTTTTCAAAATAAAATGAAAAATAATAACACACACTTTTTTTTCATTCATACAAACACACTCACACTCACCCATTTTGATTCACATTTCAATAAAAATTTCATATTCATTGTTTAATAAATTTTTTTTATTTATTTTTTTCAATAAATTGTATAAAAAAAAAAAATGAAAAAAATAATTAAAAAAAGGGGTTGAGATTATTATTACTTTAATAATATATACACTATTTATATATAAACCAATGAAATAAAATGAAAATTTATGGTGGTTATTAATAATTTGTAAAAACATCAAATTAAAAATAACTATATACAAAAAAATAAAATAAAATAAAATAAAAAAATTATTAAAAATAAAAAGAATTACTATATCATTATTTTTAACGTATATAATATCTTAATTATACTATAATTTCTATTGGATATTTAATAATTAATAAAAATACTGTTTTTTTTTTTAAAAAAATTTACATATTCTTAAAATTATTCAAAATATCCACAACCACACAATCCCAAAATTCTTTATAAAATTTAATAACTGTGATATTTTTTTTAAAATTAATTTTATTTAACTACTAATCACAACTATGATTACCATTGTTATGCGAGTCGATATTAGATAACACATAATTTATCCCTTATTATTTTAGTGTTGATTTTTTTTTATTATAAATAATTGTTTTTTTATTTTTTTTTATTTTATTTATTATAAAATTAATAAATTATTTTAAAATGCTGGATGTGAAAATTGATGAGAGTATTTTTTATAATTTTCTTCTTGTTGAACAAATTGATTACAGATTAATGATAAATGACGTTCATCTTCACGTAAACGTTCTTTAGTTGTTTGAACCTCAAATATTTCTTCAAGCATTGTATCAGTAAGTTTTGTAATATTATCTTGGATATTTAATTTGAGATCCATTTGCATTGGAATTAAAAAGTAGTTGTAACATTTCAACATTATATTCTTTGAGATTCTGTTACGAATATCTTGGAAAAGTTTTGATGCCAATTCAGTGACGATGGTATGAGTTTCTTTTGAGCTCAATGCGTGACTGCTTGTACTTGCAACTGAACCTGTGGTATTGGTGGTAGTGGCACTTGATTTAGTACTGAAACCGCTATTATTTAATGAAGTTGATGGTGATTCTGTGAATTTTTTCAAGTCCTTATTTGATTGGAGATCCCAATAAATAAGACGAGTGGTATAAAATTCATCCATACATTTGTTCTTACAGTCGGCAGCAATTTGGTCTACATATTTAAAGTACATTTCTTTAACGTAATAGATGAAATATGGATGATCCTCAACATTTACAATGGTACTTTCGTGGGATGGACGTACTGGAGCACTGTAATCACTGGCACCATTCATTGACTGAATACCATAGCCTGATAAATTTGAGGAACTTGGTGATGAATTATCTTGGAAAAGACTTGCACTATTACCATGACGACGGAATGATGACTTCTTTTTATTTTCAATCATACGATCTACAATATCGACTAAACGACGGAGAATATAAGTTGATCTCTTAAAGAGTTGGTCTACTAATGGTAAAAGTGCCTCTTTAATTTTCTTTTGAGCAAGATCGCTAGCTGCCCATGCTAAAACCGATACATTTGATGGACGATTAGAACCGATAGCACATGCAATTTCGCTACCGGAAAGCTCATCCAATTCAATAACCTCGGTAATACATTTGAACTCGGATAAAAGTCTTTCAAATTGTTGGCCACCATAGAGTTTGTTATCTGAAAATGGTACACTTGCTGATTTCTCATCATTTAAAATGATTTGTCTACCGTTATGATCGTACCAATCACCAGTTTCATCTTGTGATTTCTCTTCTTCTAAAGTTTGACCATTGAGTGATGGATTACCCTCCAAAGTACGAGTTACTAACTTTTCAATGCACTGAATAAATTCAATGGAGACATAGGAGTTTGCAATTTGACGAAGAGTAATAGCGTTGGTTTTATCTAATTGTTGTCTGATTTGACTTAATTGATCCTCGGAGGTAGTACGGAATGAGTTGAGTCTTTTGAGGACCTCTGGGACATTATCTAAATATTTTCTCCAGCTTAATTCATTGATAAAGTGTTTGAAGGCTGTAAGACCAACATTTCTTTCGAATTTCTTATCGAATTGAAGTTGTTCTAAAATATCAAGATCTTTTTGTTGAAGTTTTTCGCAGAACTCTTGAAGCTCTTCTTTGTTTTTACATTTTGAACTTTGTTCTGGAACTGGAAGTGTGGTGAAGAATGTTGGTGCTGAGAAATTGGATGAACCAAGGAAACGATTAGCTTCTCTACCATTTGAAAATGGATCGGTTGTAAGGAGATTGTTGAATTTGTTAAAAACAAAAATTGAACGGTCTAATTTATAATCTAATTTCTTTGCTAATTCTAACATTTCGGATTCGGATTTGGTAGCATTGTCAACAAAAATTAAGGTTCTATTGGTTGGCTTGGTATAGGTTAAAATCATTTCTCCCATTTCTTGACCTAATGAGAGTTTTGCAATTTTACTTGCTAACAAGTTTGCACTTGATGATGATGATGATAATGAAATTGGTGTTGGTGTACTGGAAGTGACTGTTGCTGATGATTGTGGTTGAATTGCAACATTTGGTGGTTCGATTAATAACATATTCAAGTAATATTTATATTCAATTGTAATTTCAATTGGAGTATTTGTTTTTGAATTTCTCTTTGAAATTTCTTCTGCAACATTTGTAATTTCAACTAATTTGTCGACTTCAAATCCATCTAATGAACGATCTCTTTTGAATGTAACTGTTGGTTTGTCATATCTTGGGTTATTATTTAATGAAATATGTAGTGGTCTTAAAATATTACAAACTTGACCTAAAGAAAATCCAATAAATGATTCAATTAATGTACTTTTATTTTCTTTTCCAATAAATACAAATTCTGGAATCTCGATAAATGCATTTAAGCTAATTAATAAAATAATAAAGTTAGTAATTTTTTTTTTTTATTTCGTTGTGTTATACCTACTCTCTTGCTAAAATCATAATCTTATTATAAGCTTTATACATATCCTCATATTTTTGATTATCAAAATTTAATGGGAATGGAATGGCTGTAGATTTACTAAATTTAAATTAAAATTAAAATTAAAATTATTTTTTTTTTTTTTTTTTCGCCAAATATATATTAGTAGACTTACACAACTGATTGTCTATCCATTGTAGTATTATTATCTGCCTGATTTCTATTGCTACTGATTATGTTTAATTTATTATAATAATTATAGTTTTACAAAAAAAAAAATTTTATGTATTAAAATAAAATCTAAAAAAAAATAAAAAAAATTTGGTTAATAAAAATCTTTATATGATGGAAAAATTATTATTTAAAAAAGATGTGATATTATTTAATATTTAAAAAAATTAATTTTAAAAAAAAACAAAAAAAAGATAAATAGCCAATTATGATTGAAAATAAAAATAAATAATTTAAAAAAATTTTAAAAAAAATCAAACACTTATTGGTTACATTTTTTATATGTATAATAATAAATATGTATACAATATAATAACAATATGAATAAAAATTATATAAAATATTTATTTATTTATAATACTACACCCGATGCTATCAATCATTTATAGTATCAAAGAGAAAAAATATTTTAATTATGACCATAGAATTGTTTATTTGATTTTTTCTTTTTTTTTTATTATTATAAAAATTATTATAAAATGATTTATAAAAAAATATCATAGTTTTGCCAATAAAAAAAAAAAAAAAAAAAAAAAAAAAGAAATATACATATAATAAAAACATATTATTATTATTTCTATTTTATTATTATTATTATTTACTATTTTATTTGTTGGTTACTTATAGGATTTTATTTAAACCACCTTTTTTATATATATTTGTGGTGTTGGTAGAATATTATTTTTAGAAATGGGCAGTGGATAGTGTGGTTATTTTTAGGGGATATTACATTGTCCATGATGATTTTTTTTTTTTTTTTTGAACGTGTTGAATTTATTAGTGTCATCACAAGTAGGTTAGAAATCTTTAATATTTCATAACCCAAGATTTAAAAATTCTTTTAATTTTCATTATAATCATTTTATTGATCTTTTTTAAGCTTATCGTTATTATTATTATAATTATTAATATTATTATTATTATTATCAATTATTTTATTTTTAGGGTCAATAAAAATCATATATATAATGATTTAGTGATTATATTTTTATTGTTTTATTTTATTTTTTTCCTGTGCATTTATTTAGTATTGATAATGATTATAAAAACAAGAGAAAATTTAAAATTTGATATCAATTCTAAAAACATGATTATTAATAATATATATAGTTTTATTATTTGTTTTTTGCTTTATTATAGTTTAAAATTATTATAATAATTTTAAATACTACTATTATTATAATAGTTAACCTCCCAACTAATGAGTATTTTTTTTTACAATACAATTATTTCCAAATACATAAAGAATCTATAGATTTTATATTATTTTTAAAAATAGATGTTTTTTAAAAAATATTTGTTTTTTAAAAGACAAACAAAAAAAAAGAACCAAAAAAAAAAAAAAAGATTTAAATCGAATGAACGTGACAATAACAAAATATTAATATTAACACATTGTGTAATAGTAGTTTTTAGAAAATAAAAAAACCATATTATGTGTAGCATGGGTTGGTGGTGTGTTTTTAAAGGTGAGAAATAAAAAAAAAAAAAAGTGTTTTTTATAACATTAATCTTATTTATAAGATTTTTATGATGTTTGTTTTGATTATTTCTGATTATTTCTGATTATTTCTGATTATAATAGAAATTTGGCTGACATGATTTATCACTACCACACAATATTGTTTTTATTATTTTAAATAAATAGTTTTATTAACAACAACAATACAACAATAAAACAATAGTGAACAAATTTATAAATTTACACAATAGTGTATTTTAATACCCTATTATTATCATTATCATTATCATTATCATTTTAACTATTATTTAAAATTTTTATTATTTCTTTAAAAGGTCTTACTTTTTTAGTATGTGGGTTTAAATATATTTACAAATAAATAAATAAATAAATAAATAAATAAATAAATTAGAAACTAATGTAATTTAATGAAAAAATAAAATTTTATAACAAAATAAAAAAAAAAAAAATAGAAAAAAAATCTATTTTTTTTTTTCATTCAATAAAATTTAAAAAACATTTGTTTTTTTGGCGCACACCATTCCACATTTACTTTTTTTTTTTTAAGAGAAAGAGACCATTGAATAATTATTTTTTACAATAAAATCACACATCAAAAAATATATGAAAAAAAAATTTTAAAATTGTATTTATTAGTGTTGATGATAAATTTTATTGTGAGCGATCAAAGTTTATATGTTGGCTTAATAAAAAAGTTAAATAATAATTATTGTAGTAAAATTATTATTATTATGATGATTGATAGTTTTAATTATTATTTTGGATATATAATTGAAAATATTGTTGCCATTATCTTTTTTTTTTTTAATTTTAAAATTTTAATATCCACATCAACTAACATTTTTTTTTTTTTTTTATTATAAACACAGATTTTTCACACACCCCCACTTTTTTTTTTTTATTTATTTATGAAGTTCACCCACTTTTTCCACATATACACAACATTTTTTTTTAAACTCTAATAAAATTTATATGTACACTTTTATATATCATTTTAATAATACTTTTTTAAAAATTTTTTAAAATTTTTTTTTTTTATGAGCTTGGTGATAAGAAAGAGGGGTGGTGTGGTTGAGTGGAGTAGTGTGTGTTT